AAGTGGAGTCCGCTCTCCGCGTTCCTCTCTCCGCTCGCCGATTCCGCGCCTAGGAAAACCTGGCTTTATACATTTTTCTGTGTAAAATTTCAAGACCGATGCATGGCTTAAAGTGATTGGCACTGTTACCATAGGCCAATACAAATTTTTTTTCAAATAATTAAATAACTTACGTCATCAATCCATAAATTGCTGTGGAGTACGCGTTTCAACCATCAGGTCATCCTCAGCTCCACTGTCACTAGGTTGAATTTGCTTCTATGTTGCTTTGTAGCAACAGCGTCGATATATTAAATAAATAGTCCAAACACATTTTACATTTAACACACATACACGACACGTACGAAACATTTAGATAACGAAATACGTGATAACACCGTGCGCACGGCTGGACGGGCTCAGGTTTGCGGCTACACTGTGTAGCCAATGTGTGACATTTTTAAGGAGACATTTTAGTGTAAATCCGATCAGGCAAATGGAAATTCGCTTAGTCTGCAGGTTTGCTGCGGCGGGGGTATTTGTATTTTTTTACAGTAATTGGTTACGAATAAAATTAAACCAGTACTGAACTTATATGTTATTCTAATGGAAAATAGTAAACTGGTGTAGTTTCTTTGTCTATGGATATATTTAAAACTTGGCAAATGTTTTTATTTTATACTAATCTTTCATTTTACTAAATAATACAATGTATTACTCTTTAGTGAAAACCTAAGTAGTCGTTAAACCTAAGGTTTTACAAACAAAAAACCTGACCTATTTAATTAAATATTTAAGTGTAAATCCAATCAAGCAAATGGGGATTGTCAGCAGATTTACTTTGGCATGATTATTTCACTTCCTATTGCAATTAAGACATTTTATGTACACTCCAATTTTACACAAACAGTAAAATTTTACTTCGTCAGTACAGACAGTTTATAAACGTTTGCCCTTTACAGCTGTTTTCAACGATAATCCTGATTGGCTTGTAGGGATAAAGAAGGGATTTACGTCCTCTTCTGTTGGCATCAACGTCGATACGTTGAGCTTGTATGTAAATGTAACAAACTATTATTGCTTGAATTTGAGCCACCAGTTTGTCAATTTTACCATCGTCCTTTTCCATACCTAAATAAATATTGACAATCATTTTTACACATTCATCTGGCATCAATATCAACTTAAATAATATTTAATACCTTAACAATAAACGTTGGTACAGTAAAAATTTATCAATTCTTTATTCTTGAAACTTTACTAGATTATCCTAAAACGCAGACGATAAACTTTAAACTCGTATTTCTTTCTAAAGTGATTTTACGTTATAGTTGTCTGTCCTTAGTCAATTTCCTTATTTTTTCAGTGGTATTGTCAAAATTAATGTAAGTATTAAGTTAGGTTAAGGTTAATTTATCTTTCCATTTCAAGTGATATTTTTGCAAATTAGTGAGCAACAACAAAGAACCTCCCCACACTCAGACGAACAGTCTTTTTTTAATTGCTATTTTAGGCACTATATTGTACCATTGGACTCATATCATTCTTGAAAAATAAATATTATCTTGGCAAATAGTAATCACGAGTTATGAATAATTGTTTCAATTACATTCCCTTCATTGTTCCATGACACAAGTTAAACAGTAAGACCTTTCAACTGTAACCATATTAATAACCAAAACAAACAATAAGAACATAAATATCAATACTAAACAAACAATCTAACAGGTAGCAACTGCTTCTGTAATACATTTTATAGACATGTTAAACCAACCAGTGTGAACATACGGTCTTAGATTGACGTACAGTAAATCCAACTGTTCTATTCTTATAAAAATAACAATGTATTTGCCTTAGAGCAGCAAAACCAACACAATTGATACCATTACTTTTAAGTTATTGATTACAGTGAGGTAAATAGAATTGAGGGATTGGCGTTAGTATTCAGTTTTATGGAACTGATTTGCATATAAAATCTAAATCTGATATGAGATCGAGATTTTGCGACCAATATAATTTAAGAAGGATATTTTTTATTAACAAAAAACTATACCATTTGTTTATTTTATTCCCATAAAGTTCAATTAAATTGTTTGAGGTATCTATATTATTTATTTCAGACCGGTCCTCTTCTGTCAGTTAACTCTGAGATTATTGAAGACTATTCGTTATCACATGAAATAGTTGGATTCTGTTATTCAGATGTTGTCATTATCCAATTTAAACAATTAAAAACATGCCTTTCGATTTAAAATTCGTGGTGAAATGCCAGTAACCATTTTTATTTATTTAAAATTTAATTTTTTATCGAGGGTTTTTGTTAGCAAGGGTTTAGCTGTCGACATAAATTGTACTTAAATTTTGGGGACAAAATCTCGTAAAAGACTGCTTGACTGCTTGGTATATTGTCAAAACTGTAACTTTATTTGCCATTATGCAATCAATTGATGATGTTACCAATGAAAATGGTGACTTTATATATTACCAAGGCCAACGTTTGGACGGTTAATTTAAAAAACCTTTAAAAATATTGATTGTGTATGTATATAAATACAAAACAAATAAACAAGCCTAAATATGAAATAATAAAAACAATCTGATGAATAACTATGATTATGCACGATATAGAGACACATACAATTATCAAATAAAAAAATAAATTTAATCTATCATAATTCTAAATAAAAACTTTTGAACTAAAATATAATATTGGTTACCGTAGGAGAAACTATCATAATTTCAAAAATTAATAACTTTTGAACAGAAATATAATATTGGTTACCGTAGGAGGAACTATCATAATTTCAAAAATTAATAACTTTTGAACAGAAATATAATATTGGTACCGTAGGAGGAACTATCATAATTTCATATATAAACTTTTGAATTGAAATTTAATATTGTAATATATTATATTATTATATATTATTGTAATATATTGTGTGATATGGTAATATTGGTTGCCGTGGGTAAAGATGAAAAGAAAATTATAATAATTTAATAATTGTTAAGCTGCAAAAATTTCAATTGCAAATGGTTCCTACGATCATTATATTATTACATTATTAGCACTTGTTGGAATGCTCACCTTCTCTCCTATTAATTTAATTACTACATTTGCTGCGAACCTGCAGCAAATGGAATATTTTATAGCATCATTGCTTGATTTTTACAAAATAAATGTATTCATAAGGGAATATATATTGCTATTTTCCATATAACCACTACACGAAATTGTACTAAATAAGATTTAATACAAATTGTTTTTTTTTTACATGAAGTAAACAATATCAGAATTTTCAAAACCCTAGGCTATTAAAGATTCCCTTAGCCTTAAAATATAGCATACAAACTCTTTTATTCATATGTATGTAAAATTTAATTTGCCATCGTTCATTTGGATGTCCGAAAGGTATTTGAACACAAATAAACCACTTATAATATTACAAAAAACAATTTAAAAGTATATTAGTTTTTAATTACTTGGTTAAAGATAAATTTAATTCTATCAGAATTGCTATGGAGGATTGCATGATGATTATTGATTTGCCTTTGTGGTTAATTCAGTCCCAATCTCATGAGAGCTTCCAATAGTCCGTTTGGTCACCCAATTAGTGGCTAAATTGGCCAAACGTTTGAATGGTCCTCTTGTGGCCCTCACTTGGAACAATTTTGTGAAAATTCGTATTCTTAAAACCCACTTAAGCTTTTCACTGAACAAATTGGGTGTTGACAACCAGAATTATTCGACGAACATCGGTACGTTGCTAAAATCTAATATTAAATAAATATTAAGAAATTGATTATGTTACATTTACTGTATACATGTTGTTTCCATGTTTAGTAATTTAAAGTACTATTGATTCAAGTATGACACTAACGATGGATCAGTGCCAAGAGCTATTTTTTTAGCTGGAGAATTCTCTTTGTTATCAAAAGATCGACGGTATTATTATTATTAAAAAGATTATTAGTCTTTTGATTGATCTAAACTTGACTCAGCTGTTCTGGAACATTTAGCTTTAGATAACTATCTTAAGGTAAAAGTACATATATTTTATTTAGTTTTTTGTCAGTAACAAAGGACGTTATTTCACTTTATTCTACCCTCCTTTTAGCATTAATTCCAGCTTAAAATATGCGCGGGTAAGTCTCCGAGTTGCCTTGGTTACATGAGAGGTAATGATCAAATTGAGACATTATAATATACTTAGTTCAAAACCATTAGAAGGTTGTATTTATGACCATGGGTCGTGGGTTGTTTGGGGATAGCAAACCTCCATCTTGTCAATAAATCATCAATATGCACATTTTACACGCACCTTCAAAGAAGTACTGTGGTATAAGAGCACTGGTCAGCTAAATATGGTTATCCAACTATAAATTTGGTGAATTTACTACTGCTAATATTCAGAATTTTTTCGATTTGGAACTTAAATTTACAATTTATCGCTGGACAGCTAGTTTTGAATGTTTTAGAAAAGAGCCTTGGTACTGGTTAGTTAGCAATGCATTTTTCATTGTTTAACGTTTAATAAAAACTTGAAGTTCAATTGATAAACCCGAAATGAGCTAGGACAATGACGGGACTAATTCATCTAGAGCGTTAGGTAGTGTTTTAATTAGAAGTTAGACTATTTAAATAGTAGTTTTATAAGTAAGATACCTATTAATATAAGCCACATGGTATTCATATTTTAATGTACAAAATTTTAAAGTATTTTATGAATTTTTAGTACTTTCATTGAGTCTTTAATTTCCCTCTGTGAATGTAAATAACACCGAAGGCTTATAATATTTTATCACTGACAACAAATTTATGATCCATCACACGATAAACATAAATCAGCAATCCACTTGTACAAACAGACGTATTGATATTGTTGATGTTCGCCATGTTGGCAGATTGTGCTGTGTTTACTACATGATTTGATGTCACACAAATACAATTAAATGTTGTGTGAAATAAACCTTATAACTATCACATGTATTTGTTTAAACTGTTCTTTTCCGTTGTTAAACTATCCCGTGGTGTAGTCGGGTGGTGTTGTGGTGTAGTGGTGTAGTGGTGTAGTGGTGTAGTGGTGTAGTGGTGTAGTGGTGTAGTGGTGTAGTGGTGTAGTGGTGTAGTGGTGTAGTGGTGTAGTGGTGTAGTGGTGTAGTGGTGTAGTGGTGTAGTGGTGTAGTGGTGTAGTGGTGTAGTGGTGTAGTGGTGTAGTGTTGTAGTGGTGTAGTGGTGTAGTGGTGTAGTGTTGTAGTGGTGTAGTGGTATAGTGGTGTAGTGGTGTAGTGGTGTAGTGGTGTAGTCGTGTAGTGGTGTAGTGGTGTAGTGGTGTAGTGGTGTAGTGGTGTAGTGGTGTAGTGGTGTAGTGTTGTAGTGGTGTAGTGGTGTAGTGGTGTAGTGGTGTAGTGGTGTAGTGGTGTAGTGGTGTAGTGGTGTAGTGGTGTAGTGGTGTAGTGTTGTAGTGGTGTAGTGGTGTAGTGGTGTAGTGGTGTAGTGGTGTAGTGGTGTAGTGGTGTAGTGGTGTAGTGGTGTAGTGGTGTAGTGGTGTAGTGGTGTAGTGGTGTAGTGGTGTAGTGGTGTAGTGGTGTAGTGGTGTAGTGGTGTAGTGGTGTAGTGGTGTAGTGGTGTAGTGTTGTAGTGGTGTAGTGGTGTAGTGGTGTAGTGGTGTAGTGTTGTAGTGGTGTAGTGGTGTAGTGGTGTAGTGGTGTAGTGTTGTAGTGGTGTAGTGGTGTAGTGGTGTAGTGGTGTAGTGGTGTAGTGGTGTAGTCGTGTAGTGGTGTAGTGGTGTAGTGGTGTAGTGGTGTAGTGGTGTAGTGGTGTAGTGGTGTAGTGGTGTAGTGGTGTAGTGGTGTAGTGGTGTAGTGGTGTAGTGGTGTAGTGGTGTAGTGGTGTAGTGTTGTAGTGGTGTAGTGGTATAGTGGTGTAGTGGTGTAGTGGTGTAGTGGTGTAGTCGTGTAGTGGTGTAGTGGTGTAGTGCTATAGCCCCGAGGTGTCCCTGGGGGCCTGTTCGGAAGGGATTGGTCACAATTAGGAAGATGCCTCTATGATATACAGAGGGGGTCTAAAGTCGCCCGTGATCGCGAAAGGTGTTCTAGATGGCTCTGTGCTTACGGAAGAGTTTACGATTTTTCCGCAATTGCAGCAAATGTTCAGGAATTCACCGAGATCGTGGATGATGGTCATGATCCCTCCATGCTCACGGAAGATTTTCAGGAATTTGCTGCGATCGCGGGCGACGATCATGGTTTCTCCAAGATCACGGAAGATGTTTATACAGTTTTCACGGTCGCGGAATATTATCAAAAATAGTCCAATGGTATTTATCCTTTAAAATTAAGTACGTCACCTAAAAAATATATCAGCTAGTATGTTAACGTGAATTAGTTTCATGATTGAATACTTTGACGAGGCTTTAAGCTTTGGATATATAAACAATTACATGTTTGTAAAGCTTCCTCTTTTATGGCTGTTTTATTATTGGAAATATATTTTCACTATTTTAATACATTTAACTGTCACTATTCCATTTTACTTTGTTCTTTTTATGCTTCTCTTGAACACATGAACAAATCTTTCATATAAACTTTATTTTTTTATGTTATCAAACTAAAATGTGTGATTGAGGCAATCTTCTCGATTGAACACTCCAATAATCACCAGACCCAATACAGGAATGAGAGTCTAGCATTTGTGCTGGGTCTGGCCACACGATTGGAGAGTCCAATCAAAAGATTCCTTTTTTTTCTCTTTGTGTAACAAATTGAATTGACGAAACTCAAAAACTGAATTTGTTAATACCTAATATTTTTTTTGTATATATTTAGTATACAAAAAATGTTTCGCGAATTTGAAAATTGTTATGTGACTTTATATTACCAACTGAATTTCCTTGTCTGAAGTTTTCGTAAATGTAAGAGAAAACTTTGTCAAAAGGGAATCAAGTGAGTTTTGCATAACTTTCAACCTGAAGCAGTTTTACTGCATTCATAGTCTGAATAAAGTCGTTGCAAAACTATTTATTCAAAATGAATATTGTAACATTACAACACAAGTGTCCGTAAAACAATTTTACACTTGTAAGATTTAGTACACTGTAAACAACATCTAAATAAAATCCAACGTCTCCCTGCAACTACGATAAGATCCCCATGTTGTTTTACAAGAATATAACCTTGTAACTAAACAGAGTAAAACAATATAATTTATAAACATGGAATATATTTTTTTTCAATTTTTATTTTAAGATTTTTAAGCCCGTATTCCACAGAATGAACACAATATGAAATATAATTAGATATTCCAAAACTTAAGGAAAATTTTTTTTTCATCTCGTTATGCATTTGTAGGGTACAATATAAGGGAAAATAAAGGCTATCACGTTTATGATTTAGTGTAATTAGTACAAAATAAATGTTGGAAACTGAGAGTTTGCTTTCCATTGATAAAAAACAACAAATTATTTAAGGTATGTGACTATTAATAAATCTAGATATTCCATAGCCTTGAAATAAAATAAAATAAAATGCATATTGTTTATGAAATCAACATTAGGACCACAAGGACCTTTCTTGAAGCTAACATCATATATCTAATTATAAAATAAGCCATAAATTACGAAATATAAAAGGCGAATTTATAACACTTAAGAAATCCTCCTTAGCTTAAATCTGCCTCTACAATTTACCAACGAACCATTACCACCACAGGCTGTAGGTATTAATTAAGACAGCGTAGAACAATAACCTTCCCGGCATAACAAGGCAGAGATAACATTGCGAGACCTCCCTTAGGTTTTAACTACTTCAATAATTTTTAGTATATATCGTAGAGCAGAAAAGGGACTATAATCTATCGAGATAACTTAAACTGTATAATATAATTAACACTTTAAACAGTTATATGTTTACCTTTTTATGACTGCACGGCCCATCATATATTTACAGGCATCGAGCAAGGGTTAAAAGACACTTTATGGGCGTGTGGTTATTTATGTTTTTCATCATATTGCAACATTATTTAACAAACTACACCAGAAAACTAAAATACTTTTCATGGAAAAAAAAATACTTTTAACTAATTTTCAATTTTGCTAATGCAAATAAGCAGCTGTTTAGGAAGATATTCAATCAGTTTGACTGTTACAATTATTGCGTTATTATGTTTTATACATTGATATGTTCAACTATTGACAAGAGTGCCACCTATGATTAAACCTATGATATTTATTATATTTATATAATAAATAAAATTAAATCAATCTATTCATAATTTTGATTATACGATTGTAAATAACTGTCTTTGAATCTCTAGGGACTAAAAAAGCTTTTTTACTCCCTAGGGAGTAAAATACTGCTTTAGATACGCAACGCATGTAAAAAAAAAGATTTTGCTGTAGTATGATGGAAAATATATAATGAACTTTGTTCAGTAGCAACAATATAAATATTTGTTTAACAACGCCATACAATCAGATGGTACTACGCCTAACTGTCTTAAATAATAATTAATTGTTACCTAACATTCGCAATATTTTTCAATAGATTTTTTCAGATCAGATCAAGGATAAATTATTTTAAATCAATTACAGAAACGTAATTAGGGTTTCAATATTCCTAATCAACATTATGATTGTATTCAAATCAATCGTACGCAAATCACAATGTGTACTATCCCCCGAACACTGACAGTTACAGAGTTCAAATATCGGATGATGAGGATATTGTTACCAGACTCCAATCATTACAGATTGGCTTCATTTAGTAATTGCGGATGAACACAATTCTAAAACAACATTGCCCTTTTTTGAACAACAACATTTGAAATTAATACCTAATATTTTTACAAGAAAAATCGTAAAACTAATGATGTTTCTCGACCTTATACATTGAGAACTGCACTATATTTTTTATGAAAAAGCTTACCTTAAATATCATGGATAAGGACATTTTGGTACTATTTTTACGTGAAAGAGTCATAAGAATTACAGTAAGGGAGGATGTTGTCGCCCAATTTGTCGACACGATTTACGATCCACTAAAACTGATGCGTGTTTGGGCTCTAAGACCTCATTTACGACATTTCTTATCATCATCAGAACAAGTTACAAGTTCGGTACAAGAGTTGAGAAGTGAATAGATAAATGTTTACTTTGTTTCAATCGTTACATTTTTAAGTGGTTTAGCTATTTTATTATTTTGCTAAGAAGAAACGTTCTTATAAATGCATAAATCAGTTAGCTTATAAAAAGAGTTTTTCAAATATTTTCTTTTTAATTTTGTATTGTTAAACACTGCTACTGTGACCAAAAACATAAACTTACGTTCAAAATGATCGATCTAAAATCACCGATTTAGGCTTTTTGAGTCTAGTGTAATCTATTGAAGGTTCTATAAAAAACGATTAATAACGCCTACTGCTTCTATCGTTGACTTCTGATATTAAAATGATAATTTGCATTATTTAGCTGTCCACAAAACACAGGTGTCCACTTTTTTTATATCTCACATTCACACCCTAAAACGCAAGGTTCTAACCCGGAACTGTTTACACATTCTTTAGGCTTATCTTAGAGGGTTGTTGCATTATCACATGGATAAAATCCATTGGTGGTTGGCTGGAATTGAACCGGGACCTCGCACTCCGAAGTCCCGAGCTCTAAGACCAGCACGTTCCCCACAGGTGACTACTAAAGTAAATTATCACTGCATAAAATCTATATCACGTGTGATACAAAGAAACGAGTTGGATAAATTGATTGATAGTGCTATTTTGATAGTTTTACACATTACAACAAAAAGATAAAAAATATAAGTGAAAAAAATTACATTGTTTGTCCTAGCACGCTAGGCGGAGACCAGTATTGTGTTTAGTATTGTGTTGCGGAAATGTCACTTAGATCAAATCCATTGGCGATTTGGTGGGATATGAACCCGGTACCTCAGGTACCGAAGTCAAGCGCTCTAACCACTAGACCAGCTCGCCCCCCATGGCAAAAAACACTAGTATTTAAGGACTTTAAAATCGTTGATATTTAGTTATGAATTTTAAAATAAACTTGATCAATTATCAGTACCAATCACTTGATACTAGGGTTAATCTTCTCTACGTGGTCAGGTTGGCGTTAGTAATTATCATCAGTATTAACAGTTTCATCAGCGACGTGTGACGTCATAACCACCTGGGATCACGTGGTCTCTGTGACATGATTGAAGTCGTTACATACCCTCGAGTCAAGGTCTTTGAACTCGCCAAGCAAGTTTTAACAAATCTAAGCATTTTGGATCATTAAGAATAAAGGTGAAACTTGATATTGGTAAATGCTGTAGAACATACGGATTTATTGCAATTATTTGAAGCACAAGAAAATAGTACAGGGTTAATCTTTGTTCCAGTGTTGTACAATGTTGAAGTCTGTAACATAGAGCAGTATAGTTAATAGGAAGTGCGTGTTTATTTATTGAACGGAAACTATTAAAATTTTAATAATTTGGTTTTACTCGTTTGATTTATACAGGGTGTTGAAAAGTCTTAACACGCCCAAAAATAAATTAAACGGTGCACGATAAAATTTGTCAACTTTAACATATCATTGTACGATTACTTTTCTAGCTATTGGCAGGAAATCAAAATGTTGCCCTCTCCCTCTTTTAGGGTAGATAGGGTGCAACTTAAAATCCATTATGGTACACAGTCAACACATAATTCAGTTATGCGGTACCTCCTCAGGGGAATGGCCCGCTAGAAGTAGTAGGAAAATCATTAACGTAAACATAGGCCAATATGCACATCAAATTAAAGTTCTTAATCAGTAGAATACAATGTCACAAATTTGAGCTCAAAAGAAAAACTGAGTAAAAAATGGCAGTCATTTAAAGATTGAAAATGGCAGATTCAAGTTATTTTTGAACGGCTGCCATTTTCGACTCGGTTTGAGTTCAAATGATTCGTGACAGCAGTCACTGGTCAAAATTACATGGGTCTTTACATTTGAAAATTTAGAGTTGCTCCATATCTACCCTTAAAGGGGGAGGGGGCAACATTTTTATTTCTTGCAAAACCCTAGAAGAAACATAATATAATGGATGTGTTGAAGTTGCTAACTTTTATTTTAAGCAGTTTAATTTTTGTTTGGTTGTGTTAAGACTTTTCCAACGTATGTGCCATTCAACTAATTTAAACTTAATACCATCAGTAATTTTTTAACAAGATGGTAGGCTACAAGAGTCCAAAAGATTGTCAAATCT